AGAATCAATGTAACCAGACGAGACCGCACAAGAAACGAGACCATCTAACCAGAATGCCCCAGAAACAACTAGCGGCGAGAGCTTCCTAGTTTTAGTAGAGGTTTTACGGCGCCCGGAACTGCATTAGGTCATATGAGCGCCAGAGGATTACAGGTGTTACAAGAGAGTAACAAACATAAAAAAAGAAGAAGGGGAAATAAGGACGATAGATTTTTGAAAGAAAAGAAGGAGCAAACCACACCAGAGCATCCGCCAACCACCCACGGCGAGAGCTTACCACACCCGTGAATCCGGCTTCAGATCAAGAGGAAAACCAAGAAAGACCAGGCTGGATGGGGTTCAAAAGATCATAGAACATGCCATATCTATCACAGACGCTACACACTTAGCACAGGACCAAAATCTACACCTCCCCTCGACATCCTGGGGATACTAGAGGAAGGAAAAAGTAAAGTAAAAGTAATTCTCCCCATTTCCCTGTAACTCGAAAAACCAAGAGCATACATAGAGAAAAAAAAATTCAACACACTGCGCCCGGGCACTCATAAAACCACGGCCCAGTACAGGAGCATCCAATGACAACGAAAAAATGTGGACCTCTAACTCTAAGCTTTTTAAAAATCTTTCTAGGGGGGGGGGGGCGCTGGGTTCTTTTTTTTGGGGGGGTGGTTTCGCTTGTTTGTTTGTTTTTTTGTCTTTTTTATGCTGTTTTTTTCTCAATCCTTTGTATTTGGGGGGGGGGGTCAATTCTATTTCCTTCTCAGTCTCACTCAGCGAGACAGCACCCGCATAACACGAGACTGACTCCATTTCGGACACCCAGACCCCAGGGACAAACAGCGCGAGAAGACAAAACAAAAGAAAGAAAAAAAAACATCCAGAGAAGAAATATAGGAAAAACTAATGGGTATTCCTGTTTGAATGGATAGCCAGGCCAGGCCACCAAATCCCATCTGGATCTCAGGCACAGGATAAAAAATGGAAACAGACGACTCTTGTTACATAACTTTCATCTCTGTTTGATTCGCAAAAACGTGCGAAATCCAGTCATATATTTTAGGGGATTTTTTTAAACCTGCTACTCCCCCATAGAAGAAAACATGTAAAAATGTGCTAAATACATAATACATACATATTATATTTTAGGGGATTTTTTTTAAAGTTTACTACCCTCCCCTCCCCCCCCCCCACCAGACGCAAACATATAATTCAGAAAACGGACCCAAACGCTGTTCGAATTGAAGAGCAGCACATTCCACTCGGGTGGCGATCATTCTGAGCGGATCAAAAGAAAGACAGAAAAACAGAATCAACAGAGGGGTAGTAAAAGAAGTGAGGGGTAGCCAAGGACCTTACTGCATAACCTCCTTGGGGGTAGCAAAGAAGTAAGAGCTATCAGAAGCACCTTCCCACTACCCACACAGCAATCATGTTTCTTATATATATATTCATTTCTTTGAGTAAAGAGAAGCACATCGACACAACAACTGTCATTTAGTTTGCTTTAGTAAGAGTTTTACGGCACTTGCAACACAATAAGGTAAAAAAAAGAAAGAGCCAAAGATAAGAGGTGTTACAAAAGAGTACAAGAGGAAAAAAAGGAGGAGAGATAAGGACGATAGATGTTTGATAGGAAAGAAGGAGCAAACCACACCATAGCATCCGCCGACCACGACCACTCGAGGTAATTTTGTGCTTGGGGGGGGGGGGGGGGGGGAAAGAGAGAGACAGATAGAAACAAGAGGGAAAGAAAAGAAGTAGGACCTACCAGTGGCACCCTCCAACTAAGTAGGTAGAAAATTTTGAATTTTTACTGGGTGGTGGCCGAAGCCTACTCTTACGGATTTTGGACCACCAAGGGATTTTTAATGTGAGCAACTTGCACACGGGACCTCCAAGATTTTTCGCCCTTATCTGAGAAGGCTATGTGTTTGATCTTACCCACCATACGATCAGGGCAGCGGCTGAAAGACACCCGAAAGGAGCCAAGGAGTAGCAGTAGAAAAGCTGCAGAAGAGCCAGGAGCACAGAGGAGGTGGCAAAGGAGATGAGGGGGAGGGGGCAGAAAGTGGAGGCGAAAGCAGACGACAAAACATTGTTAGAGAGCAGGAAAGGAGGTGAAAGGAGAATAAAATGTTCCCGTCGCTGTCCGGATTCAAAACCGGCACCCATTGAATGAAAGGTGAACACCTTAACTTCTCCACAAAGAGACCCCCCTCCATTAGGTCTTGATAAAGTATGGATCCATCTTAATCTTGAAAGATTTCCAGGATCCACTGAACAGTAAGCAAAAAAATGTTGATTTTTCTGATAATACAAAGGGGAACACTAAATTATCTGATAACATCGTGGGGGAATACTAATTAAAATTAAAATAAAACATAATTTTACGCTAATAAGATAATTGCCTTAGTCATTTTTGGCTGGTTTGGAGTTTTCGGTTCTGAAATGAAGAGCAGAGCCAGCTTGGTAATATTGCTCACTTGGACAAAAGAATAATCTAAACATTAAATCATGTGAGAGTACCAAAAGTCAAGCGTTTCACAGAGTCAATTGTTCGAAAGAAACAGTTTGGTTTTTTTTCATTTTCTTTAAATAGCTAAACCTGACATAGGCATTTATCTTGTGAGCATGACGTCATATTAGAGAGCAGTTGTATTTCGGACTAACAAAAATCAGAAATGACTTTGCTTAAACACATCGTGGCCCGGAAGGGTTATATAAGTTTTATAAGTACTTGTTAGTATTATAAAAAGAGCAATTAATACATCTCTTAGATTTTTTAAAGTCCTCTTCATACAAAATTGAGACGTTGCAGCATTAACGGGCACTAGAAGAAAACTCATTTATATTATCAAAGGAGACCATGCAAAAATCCCAGATTGAAGGCGAGAGAAAAAATTATAGAAATTAATTTTTACATTCTAAAATTTGCTTTCAGGGTAAAAAATGCTTTTCCATATTCTCCCCACAAGTGATAAAGCAAAAGTAGTCGCTGACAGAAAGCTTTGGTGTACTGGTAGCTTCATAGATATGATGGGTGTCTCTCACCACTTGCACATTCAGTGGGTGGCACAACAGAACCCATGATCATTTTTAAGAAGAAACGTTTCGAAGTATCCAAATATCTGGATTTAATTTACTGAGAATCAGATGGACAAACAGGGTCACCAATGAGGAAAGTATTAAGGAGAACAAGACAGGGACCAGTCAGAGATGAGGTGAGAAGAAGGCGGTGGCAATGGATTGGACATACTCTCAGGAGGAAGTCAAGCAATTGCGGAACAAAGAAAGTGTTAGATTGGAATCCACAGGGTAAAAGACCAAGAGGAAGACCACGTGGAACCTGGAGAAAAGTCATGGAAATTGATGTACAGAACAGTGGGAAGACATAGAATAACATCAAGAGATAAGCCCAGGATAGGGAAAGGTGGAAAGTGTTTGTTCGTGGCCTATACCCTGACCCAGGGTGAGAAAGTGTTTGTTCGTGGCCTATACCCTGACCCAGGGTGAGAAAGTGTCTGTTCGTGGCCTATACCCTGACCTACGGTGAGAAAGGCAATGATGATGGTGAGTTTCAGTTTGAGTAAAGAGTACATGCAGGTGGGGGAAAAAGCAGGACAGTCAGACAGAAACAACACGGGGGTGGAAAAGACGATGTACCTACCAATGGAGCCTTTCAACCACCAGCCTAATGCTCGGAGTATGATCCGTATTAAAATAACTTTGTGATTTATACGACAGGTATAAGATGAAACCTAGCACTACAAAGATACAGTCGAATCTGCTGTACCAGCCACCTGTCCAAGACAATCATACCTGAAAATGACCACTTCCCATTTCTCACCTGTACAAACCACCACTCACCCCGCCCCCCTGAGTTTTTACGAAATTAAATTTAAAATGTCCAAGACACCCACCTGTCTAAGACAATCACTTTACAACAATGGGTGGCTGGCTTGGACAACTTCGACTTTTTTCTTCCAACGGTTAAAAGAAGACAGCTCCATTAAATGACAAACAAGAAGTTAACTCAAGTACAACCCATATCAAAGTACTTCAACTACTGTCCGGAATAAAGACACCTCTCAAAAGACGAGACAGGGTTAAGGTAACTAACGTTTGGCCCACTAAGATACATTTATTGAGAAAACATACTGAGACTTGAAATAAGACAATAGGGCTGGAGCACACAATCACACACATATCATATTTACAAGATAGTTTTTTTTCTTTTCAAAGCATTCAACTTCCTTTGATACTAAAAGGCCTGTACTACTTGCACTACTTGTAAATGGGAGTAAACTAGGTATTGAATAGCTTCACATCTTTGAATAGCTACAGTATTTTAGGAGAGATCTCCCCTTGTACCGTGCGAGCAGTTTTATATTTGGAGTATAGTATAGCGAGTTCACACTTGCCACGGGCTTGTGGAAAATGTGTCAGCAGTCAGAAATGGAATTTGTAAGCTACTCAGCTAGTCAGTCTCACTATGAGTAATATTTGCACCACAAAAGAGATTGGAAAGAAAAGTAAGAGGAAAAAATGGCCAGTGATGGGATTCATTCATTTTTTCAAACAAGAATAAAAGACAACACTAGAAGGTTGATAAAAGATAGTTCAGAAGGAGTTAAAGCAGACCATGTCAAACCAAGCCAGATGCCAAGCTCCAGGCAACATGAATAATTGACAACACCTCTTGCAAAGAAAAGAAAGTGGGAAAAGAGAAAAAGGGAGAAAAGCAAGAAATGAGAAGGAGGAGGAGAAAGAAGAAGAGGTTTACAATACCTCTCAGAAAGAAAAGAAAGTGGAAAAAGAGAAAGAGAGAAAGAGAGGAGAAAAGCAAGAAGTGAGGAGGAGTAGGAGGAGAAAGAGGAAGAGGAGGTTGACAATACCTCTCAGAAAAAAGAGAAAAAGTGGAAGAAGAGATAGAGGGAGACAAAGGGAAAAAAAGGAGGAAGAGGAGAAGGAGGAGGATAAAAAAAATGGTCTGTACTCACCCTTTACTGGTTTTGCTGGAACTGTTCTTCTTCTCAGTGGAATCCTTGGTGTTCGGTGACTTGTCTTTGCTGTCTTTGCCTGGAGACTTGTCTTTACTGTCTTTTTCTTCAGACTCGTCTTTGTTATCTTTGTTTTTGCTATCTTTGTCTTGAGACTTGTCTTTATTACCTTTGCCTTGAGACTTGTCTTTACTATCTTTGTTTTTCCTGTCTTTGCCTTGAGACTTGTCTTTACTATCTTTGCCTTGAGACTTGTCTTTACTGTCTTTTTCTTCAGACTTGTCTTTACTGTCTTTTTCTTCAGACTTGCCTCTACTGTCTTTTTCTTCAGACTTGTCTTTATTATCTTTGTCTTTAGACTTGTCTTTACTATCTTTGTCTTTTTTAGCACTTACAGATGCTGAAAAAAAAAGCATTATTACTTTTTTACTTTGTTCTTATAATAATTTCAAGCAGAAAATAAATCTCATGTTTCCATAAACCATATCCTTGACATTGGGACGAGTACAACAATACCATACAAAAAGATTTGAAGTTTGAAATACGAGACAAACTATATTCCATAATTATTAGACCAAATAAATGTGAACAGCAATGTCTTCTTCTTCTTCCAGGTTCAGATCCCAGAGCCCTGATTCAGTGTCAAATGTAGATAATAAAAGATTTACAGAATTGTACATTTGACTAAAACTAATATCATAAAAGGGACATAAAACTCAATTGGAGAATTTCTCCACATTGTACGCCTCTCCAACCCAGGTAGCATCCCTTTACCAATATATTAGACTTACATTACTACCATATTCAAGAAAATACGCTGGGTTGTTTTTTGTGTTTTTTTGTGGGTTTGGGG